ATTGGCTTATTTTTAACATTAATACAGTATTCTACTGGAATTTGTATGACTTTCTGTCTTTGTGTCTTTTTATTCAATGCTTGTTTTTGTTTTTTTATTATAGCCAGAAAATCTGATTCTTCGGAAAGTGTGGAAGGTGATAGTACGGAAATGAAAGATAAGATTAATTTGCAATCAATTAGTGATAGTAATGATGAAAGTGATGAAATTGCAATGAGATCAAAATTTTATCCAAATCAATTCGATGACGATGATCAATCAAGAGAAGAAAAAATACCTGATATTGAAGCTGTTGAACGTCTACAAAATCCAGAAGAATCAAATATTCATAGTGTTGAACATGATCATAATGATGATGATGGTGATAATAATGATTATTACAAGATCTTACGAGATAGTGATGAAGATTAAATTATTTCTATAAATTTTCTTTTGGAACTTGATTTGCTCAGTTTCCTTTTTCTATTGTATGATATACAAGTCATGCATTCGATGAAATAAATATTTCTTTTCAAGCAAAAATTCTTATCTTAATCAATCTTAATTAAACAGAAATTAATTTGTTATTTAACATACAATAGTAAAATAACCATAAGATTTTAATTGTTATAATTTGATATTTAAAATGAAACCATATTTGAGTCATTGGTTATCTTAAATTATTTTTTAGGAATGTCGTTGTCATTTTTTTAACTTAAAAACAAAAAATAAGTCATTTTGTATATTTATTTGTGTGAGGTAAATTGTTGTAACATGTTTGTTCCTGACTTTCATCAAGCTATTCATCTACAGAAGGATTTATTAAATAGAAATTCTTTATTTTTCTCTACTGATAAACATAAATAACTTTTCCTCGAAATACTTGTAGAATAACTGAGACAAAAAAAATGTTATACATATTAATATTGATGTTATTTTTGATTTGTTACCATCGATCATCTGCATTATTAAGATAAAGTTTTGATAACACTTAATCGTTATCATTCTCTTATTCTGATGTTAGAAAAATGTGAAATTGACATATTATAGATATCGCCATTGTCTAGTTCGATTCATGGACGAGAAAGATCAGTAAAATAGAGAAACTTATAATCGAATGATTCGAAATTATTTTAATAGAAAAGAGGACGATTGGTTTGATCGTTTGCTAAACTGAATAAAATAATTTTACATGAAAAAGAAAATTATTTAATTATGAAATTATGTTTATTAATTTTGAAAATAAACTTTCGTTTATGTCAATTGTATGAATCAATCTTGTTAACTTGAACAATAATTATTTAAAGTCAATCTCGACGAGGTGGCCGAGGGGTTAAGGCGTTAGACTGCTAATCTAATGGGCTCTGCCCGCGTGAGTTCGAATCTCACCCTCGTCGCCATGTTTTTTTCTTTCTTCATTGCATATTTTATTTTGTTTTATTTATTTCTGTGCAGTAGCAATTGTTCGGTGTGTTTATATTTTAATATCAATATTGTTCTTTTTTCCTTAGACTGAAAGGAGAGAGTCTAGAAACGTAAATCCACCGATATGTGTGTGCCTGCCTGTACTATAATTGCCACATGGTAATTATAATTTAAATGATTATATTATATCTGTAATATAGATGATCACATGATTGCTATGATACAAATAATAGTTGTATAACTAAAAAGAGCATCCATGTATAAGGATTAAAATGAACCAAGGAGTAGTATCCCTGGATGAAGAGTAAAAAAAATCTGTATTTCACTGCATACAACCGTATTCTGCTGTATTACGTGACTCAGTATTACGAATGTATTTCTTCGTATACGATAAGAAAAAATACAGTTATTTACAGCAAGATACTGAGTAAAATGGAAGTCGTTTACGAGCATGTTTTTTTCGATCTGAGATACTTGTAGAAGTGACGATCATTGTTATTGAACTGTTGAGTAGTTTGATCAAGTATTCACTGTTGTATACATGAGGATATCATGTAATAATTATTAAGAGTTGGAGAATGCGTCTGAATATAAGATTAATTGTGAAATGAATTGCTCTTGTACATCAAGTCACCTTTTATATTTTTCTAGTATTTTACTTAATGCACGTTTATATCTAGATGCAGCTATATGCATATCTGTATCTCGTCACTCTTGGGTTAAGTGAATCGAATCGTGATGAACATTACTTGTATTATTATCAATGATGTATATAAATGAAAAAACTTTCTGAATAGATTGTAAACATATTTTGTGTAATGTCATTAACAAATAGAATTGAATAGTTTAATATCAAAACAAAAGAATCTTTTAAGATAAGAAATCTTGACATTTGAGATGAGTAAGAAGAACAGATCAAATTCATTTGATGAGTACGTAATATTTCTAATCGATTGAATAGCTCTACTACCATGAAATAAAATTTTTTTAATGAAAAGCTTTTTTTTTTCGTTTATAATAATTAAAAATCATTCGTAAATTCGATCCTATATATGTATAAATCAATGCAGTATATGTACGACTTACTTTTTTTGTAATCTAATAAACGGGATTAAGCTTGCATTTCGAATGATGTTGATGGTAAAATTTGATTTTGAGCATCATGATAAAGTAAACTTGACGATTTAAATGAAGCCTCTAGCAATAGTTAATTTTAATGATCTTTATTTGGTTCTTTATGTATGAGAGCAAGTCAATGAATGATTTTCATTAGTATCTTACAGTGATTATTTGGTTGAACATATGTCTAAAAATTGGTCATACTATATTTTGTAAATGCACAACATAATTTAAGTTCGATTTATCTCAAACTTTCGCCGATTATTCTCCAGCGTCTGACCGATCGTTGCTCAGAGCGCCACTTCGCATCGATAAGCACAACTGATGTTATAGATCTTTCCAAAACCGAGATTTTTGCCTCCAAACACCTATTTTTCTAAAGAAGGCATCATTTTAGCGTAGAGCCAAGATTATATTTAGAATCAGCTCATTTGAGTTGCATCGAACCATACATAATAAAAAGCTTTTTTTTTGAAAGAACTTTTTGAACTTTATACTAAAAACTTTTTTAAAAGTTGGATTTCACGATTTTGTAAACGTGATAATCAGCTAAAGTCCAATTGAACTTAGACTTTCAGCAAATCTCCCTCCACATGAGATGTAGGATTGGGTCTAGCGTTAAATATGGTCATTCAATGTGGACTGAGTTGTTGGTTCAAAAAAATTCTGGCTTTGTATCATCAAATCTTTTTTTTGCCCTTAAAATAACATCTTAGCGTAGAACTAAGGAGATATTTGCAATCAACGCATAAAACTACATCGGCTAAGGTACGACAGATTATATTTTCTAGCACAAAAATTTTTTCAAAAAATTTGGCAAGAGTCTCCCACAAGTGATTTTTGAAGAATTTTTTTCCAAAAAAATGATTTATTCTCTTAAAGATTATTTTATAAATGATATGTAATTACTTTTGACCAATAGAAATCCGTTTCCAAGAAGGAAAGTTATATGTCCATCTGCTATACGAAAGTTACTCACTGTGCATACGTGCTGAAGATTTTTCGTTGAATGATACTAATCATGTTATCTAATCTCATGTATTCAAACTGATCAAACAAGCAATATTAACTGAGAACAACATGATGATTTGCCAGGAAGCCCAAAGAAAGGCTATTTAATTTCACAGTATTTTAAATTCTTGTTGAATTTAACAAATAGACACAAAATTAATATATGAAACAATGTCACGAATTTGATAAAACGTTACAAATGAGATTTTTTTCTGAAACGAAGTGTATAGAATAAATTTACATTTAATTGCTTGAAAATAAGTTCATTATAATTCTTTAGTTTTCATACTTTGAATTTAATTTTTTCAACATCTCAATAGATAAGTTTGACGTACTATGAAGAAAAACAATAGAAAGCATCAGAACCAGTAAAGACTAAAAAAACCAAAGTGATATATCTAGCTGGATCCATCCAGTTATTGACGGTCATAGTAAACTAAATATCTGTCTACATGATACCAAAAAAAAAAAGAATAGAATATTTGATAGCATTAGCATATTTTAATAGTCGATCTTAAAAAATGTTTATAAAAAACCAATCTTCATTCAAAACAATATAAATACTACGTCATAACTGACGATATCTTAATACTAAAAATCTCGTTTTATTATAATTTTCCAAAAAAGAAAAACAGATTTATCGTACATATCGAAAAGAAACATGTATATACATCCATCTACATCTTCCATTTCGTTATAAGATAAAATTTATTGTTCTGTATTTCACGTATTATAAAAGATACATAAAATCACGTATACAATTATCATTGAATGAGAGATATATTTAATGCTGAAAATAGACCATTGAATTGTATTTTTTTTGTTTTCAAATTTCATTTTGTATTCGATTCCAATGTTGCATCCTATCTTCGTTATTATCTTTGTTCTACTACCTCAATATGTTCATAATAGTTGTTGTCGTTTACCATTTACTGATGGTGAATGTCAAATTAATCGAAAAGGTCCACATCGATATCAAATTATGCCTGATCGTCATTCGGGTCTTGTCACGGAAAGTACCGAATGTTATATAAATGATTTTGATGCAAATTATCGAAAATTAATTATAAAAAAAAATTATTGTAATGATTGTCCTGGTTTACTTATTTTTCATACAAATTCATCGGAAATTTTCTTATTTCCAGAATATCTCGAACGTATTTTAGAAGGACGAACACAAATACAACGGTAGATAAATTCAAATAAAGCTTTTAAATAACTTTATAAATTTATTTCTAGAAAAAATGTTGTGATATTAACAACTTCACTTATTGGAGCATATGATTTAGATTTTACATTTTTTTCACGTTATTATTCTTCTCGTCCAATAAATGAAGTTCCTTCACTTTATGTTGATCTACAATTACCTGTATACGATCCGAAACAAGAAATACAACCGAGTTTACGTCTTCGTTTACCCAATTATAATAATGATAAAGAAGGATTATCAAAAATCAGCCGACAAGAATTAATTTATAATGGACAGACTATGTCTAATGTTCATCAATTACCTTATATTTATCATTTCGATATAGAAAAACATCGTCATCCACCAAGTAAATATATATATAATATATAGATTCTACTGAAAAGAATTTTATTTAAATAATTTTTTTAAATGTTTTTTAGGTCAATGTACTTTATATGATGTTCAAGTTTCATCATCATCTCTCATTTGGAAAATGTTAGCTTCTGAAGTATCAGCATGTCATACAAATATGTCCTATTTTGGACGAAATCAATGTTTTGCAACAGGTTTTACACGTTTATTTTGTCCAATTGAAGAAAGTATATCATTAGATGATCGTCTACAATTATCATCATATTTTAACACAACTAACAAGGTTGAACGTTTAACTATAGCTGTGACTGGTGGTCGTCATATTGATATGTTCTTAAGTAATGATCAAATGACACCTGCTGAACAAGTTAAAATTCTTCTTCTTCAAGGTCACTTAATAGTGGCTGATATTAATACTAATTTACCTATTCGAGTTGAATATGGTTGGAATTGTGATGATTTTAGTCTTGTTGTTCCAGCTGGTTTTAGTGCAACTCGATATCGTCGTTTTGATGGTGAAAATTTAGCTATTTATGAAGGAAATAGTATTGTTCCTTTACCACGTTGTTTTCGAGTAATACCTAATTTAGTACAAATACCATCATCAAGTATAACAAGTACTCTTAGTTCTTCTACTATTGATGTAAAATCAGATGAAAAACAAATAATAACATCAAGTCTATCAGAAATAAAGATTATAATTCAATTAAATTTAACAAATATAACAAAAGATAATCAACAAAACACTTCATCAAACTATTGGAATATTTTTCCTGATTACGATTGTATGTAAAAAAAAACAAAAATTTTTTTAAATATAAAATTCATAATTAAATTTAAAAAAAATTCATTCTTTAGATTTGGCTTATGGTACAATTATTTTATTAGTTTTGGTTGCTCTTATTCCTTTATGTCTTCTTGTTTTCTATATTGTATATTGTAGTCAACATGGTAAATCAAAATCGACATTGAAACATGGTTCTCATACTAATCCAGCTTATAACAGTTCTAAAGATGATCCAAATGATATTTCAGTTCTTTCCTATGTTAATAAATCAACTCAAACAACAGACAATCCTATTCGAATTTAAAACATATTTTTTCTTTTTTCTTTTTCTTCTAAAAAAAAGAATAACAAAAACGAATAAAGAACATACACATTAAATTTGTTGAGAAGCAAACAAATGGTAGTTAATGTTTGCCGTTTGTTCGATGTGATTAGTAACGATTTCAGCATATTATTTCAATTTTGTTCGGTTGTTTTGACTGTCTGTATTTATCGTAACAGTAAAGTAGATGTGAAAAAGAAAAAAAAGAAAGAAAAAAAAAAGAATACGAACAAGAAAGTACAAAAGTGCTCTATGAAGTGTTGTTTTATTTAAATAAGCTTTTTTTTTTTCTATATTTCTAATCTCGTAAGTCAACATACAAATAACACATAGGATCAAACGAAAATGGCAGAAACTATGACATCAACATTTAATTCATTAGATACAAATTCAAAAGAAACATATAAAAAATCAAAAAAAACTGTTCATAGTGATATATCAACAATGTCTTCAAGCAAAGTTAGTTTTTGAGAATAAGTAAATTTAAATTAATAAGTTTATATTCTTAAGAATTCTGTTAATTCTTCGACAAACAATAGAAATGATTGGCAGCGATTGTTATTAACTCGTTTTAAACCTGGTGTCACAGGAAAATATCGAATGACAAGAAAAAATGGCATTAAATCAGACATAATTGTATGTGAATTACTTATTCAAGAGAAATTATTTAGAGATAACATAATTTTAAACTTTCTTTTGTTGATTAATCAGGAATCATTATTAAATTTTAATCTAAAGAAGACAAACTTTTTTTTAAAATTTAATATCTATTACTCGTCGTATTAGATACAAAAAAAAAACGAAATAAATAAATTAAGATACAATATTTTTCTTTAATCACTTCCAATATTCTCTTTCATATGAATTTAATTTAGTCATCAACATCGTTTGACGATTCTACTGTAATATTACGATCATACAATTGTGAATTATCAATTAATGATAAATCTGATATAGTTATTACTCAATCAGGTTGAAATCTATTGACTTTCTATAAATTATTATATTATGTCTGTTCTTATATATAGATAAATTGAACCAACTTGATTCTTCAATAGAAAATTCCATAAGAAGAGATAATCATTTTGTAAAAAATTCAACATCAAATCGATCTGATAATCATATGACTTCACTCAAACGACGAGTCAGAAAAGTATATTAATCACATGATTACTTTTTTTTTGTTTTCATATTCCTTTTTTTGGTTTGTAGCAACAAATGAGATACCTACAAAATCAAACAACTTTTATTCAAGATACCACATTTCAATTATCATCATCGACTGATCTCTTACTTATACCATATTCCGAACGATCTAGATCATTACATCGTTATAGATCAAAAAAGAAAAGTTCTATTGTTCCATTACCATCATTAATGAATTCTACTAGAGTGACACCAACTTATATACGTGACATTAAATTAAATCTTTATGGATATTAATTACTACACTTAAGAGTGCTACAAAAGAAGGAAATAGAATGAGATATATTTTATCTCATTCTTGTCCCTTCTATTAATTGAACTTCATTGAGAAATATAAAATGACTATTGTAAATTTTGTTTTTTCTTCTTTATATTTTAAAAGTCTATTTTTGTAAAAACATGTTGATCACCATTGAAAATGGCCCACAACATCGTATAATCATCATCAGTGTACGATATACATACGATGAATCGCGATACTTTTTGCAACTGGTGTATTCCTACTAGATTTATAATATTTACTTTTTACTCTGTATTCGACTCTCATGGAGAGTATCTTATTTCAGTATAATATCGTTTACTTTTTTTATTCTGTTTTTGTCTTACATTTTCACCTATTCAATAAACACGATTGATATTTCATTTTAATAGATAAAAAAAAAAGTGAAACTGCGCACTTATACACATAAAATTGAAGAGAAAAATAACCGGAACATTTCACATGCATCAAGCCTTAAAAAATATGAACTCCAATTGATGATCACTTTCTGATATCTCTTGATAGATTAGAAGTTGCTGTTATTCCAAATGACCATTTTTGTCGTAGACGTTTTTTGTTCATGTGACAACTACTAAACAGGATTTCTCAATCATCTGAAGATGGACTTACATGTGATGAATCAGTCTCGATCTTTTTAGATATCATAGAAACAAGAGATACGAGTGTCTATCATTTTCTAGATTCTTCCCTACATGCAAATGTCCCTGCTGAAGTAAAACTGGTTTTCTTATCGCACATTGCTACATATGACGTTTAATAAACTATCATCAAAACGGCTAATAGTTTGATAAAATATTCATGAAAACATCAATACCTAATACGAGGACGGCATTCAAACTTACTTAGACTTATGTAACATTATTCTCCAAGGATTTGTATTTAATGCAAAATTTTCTCGATTTATTATCGACATGAAAAATTTAATGTTGCACATAGTACATAATCAGCAGAAAATGAAATCATACTTACGTTTAGTACACTCTTTGTAGTAGTTGACAAACCACTCGTTAATGATCCACGGCATACTGTGACAATGGAATAGGTATCAAATTCAAACGCATCACAACAGAAACTATGTTGTCTAAAATTACTAAATTAATGATCAACAAAAAATTTTTAATGACTGAACTTCTTCCACCATTTGTAAAACTATTATCGGCAGCATTAAATAAAATCCTTTTTTTAACTAGAGATTTTGTCAACTGTAATTATGAATGACAGCAACTTCTAGTACACAACCAAAAAAAGAAAAACTCGAAATAACCATTCAAAAATACCGATATTATTTTACTTTACTTCGTCTAAGAATAGAACATATGATCCTAGTTTCATTCATAAATAGAGAAAAAAAAAATTCTAACTTATCCAGTTATGTATACACTCTCGAATGAGTTTATTCAATTATATTACTAAATGTCTTCAAATATCTACATATGTCATCATTAATTATGTATATATGTATATCATTATTTAAAATTTTGTCTAAAACTAAACAATGCATTCATGATTCAAAAATATTTAAGACTAGATCGATCTAAATTTCAGAATTCTTCTAGCGAAAAGCAAGAGGATGATTCAATGTGTATTCATCTTTATTTACTTTAAATTATTAAACATTTAAATATTTTCTATTGGAACAAACGTGTATCTATCATTTATGTAAAATGTTTTTCATGGACATTATTTGTTCTCATTATGATACATCAGACTAGTAGACTTCAAAATGATGAATATATACTAGACCTTTCTGTTAAATGCTTCTCATGCTGAAATCAGTTGAAATACGTCAATTGTTTTCATTGTGACGAAGAAAACTGATTCAAAAAGTACTGATTATATCGAAGACTGTATAGTGTAGGGCAGTTACAAAGTGAAATCCAGAAATGCTGTTTGAATGTGACCACATTTCAAGGTCATTCATGAAAGTGGATGTCTTATTGTTTTTCATCCAGAAAACTGTTTAGGTGTGAAATTTGATATTTTTAGTCATTAAAAAAATTGCTCAATCGACAAAATATCTTTTCTTGAATTATGTAGGAGTGTTGTTTATGTAAAAAATCATTTCATGAAATGAGTTGTTCTTATTATAAATGTTCTAATGTATGGACACAAACAAATTCTATGCTAACTTTAACTGTTACTTGAATAGATTGTAAGAACTAACTTTTAAACATATTTTGCCTTAATTGTGAACAATTTGATGTGATTATCAATTCATAGAAATCTAGTTCCATAAAGTGTTGAAATGGCAAGAAAATTTTCATGTTTATTATCTGGTTACACTGTTTAAAAGATAAGAATAACAAAACCGTTGACTATTTTCATGGTACATACAATCGCTGTTTGTCACGCATCATATTCACAATACGAACCAAATACGAAAGTAACATGTGTTTCGTCTGAAAAGAAATTCAATCATGTTAATTGTCCACATACCAAGATATCTAATTTTCAGAAGAATTGTAATTATGAAATGAATACTACCATTTTGAGCTACTTATCACAGAAGATAGTTCAATAAGTTTTGCCAGTTGTAGCGCGTTCAATATATTTAGTACGACCGATTATTATTAAGATAATATATATATATGCATTCAGTACAAAAAGAAAACGTCTTTCAACAAATCAATAAGTAAAGTGTTTGAAGCATCTGTTTCTTATGCAAGAAAAGAAAAGAATTTTTTTATTCGATAAACTGCTTTCATTTTCGTAAAACACTTTTCTATTCTCAAGATGTTTATTAAAAAAATCAACTTACTACTTGTTCTTATCGCAACAAATCGTTTGAATAAGTGAATTGTTCAACTTGCACTGTTGCTTAGCATTTCACTACTTAGAAGTATTAAGATCAGCTTGTCTATAAATGTTATTCATACAATACTTCTTATGCACATGTATCCTAAATATATCATTATGATATGAATTCATGATATGGTGGTAGCACATTTAATCGATATAAATACAGTCGTTAGGTCAGTTGTAAACAGACACTCAAATGTATTTGTTGTTCTTGTTTTCAAATTGGGAATTACTGTAAAATCTAGTCAATGATGTAGAAGACAATCGCATTATTTGTGCCGTATGATACAATGCATTTTGATATGAAACTTTTCGAACGTTCATAGAAACTATTTAAGAATATTTTCTTATTCATGAAACTATTTTACAACAAAATACATTGTATTAAAATGAAATTTAAGCCTTAAAATCATTGTATACCATCTGAATCGTATATTTCAGTGGTTTTAATTCGGTAATATACATTGTTATCAGTTTAATAGAAAAGATTCGATTAATCATTGGAATATGTTGAATTTTATATCTTTGTTCAAATAAAAAAAAACCATGTTGTACATATTTGTTACTTAAATACTTGAAAAAACTCATGCATTGACTCGTTCAGGATATTTTTTATCAATAACACATTTCGACGAGATGGCCGAGCGGTTAAGGCGTTAGACTGCTAATCTAATGGGCTCTGCCCGCGTGAGTTCGAATCTCACTCTCGTCGCCATTTTTTTTGCTTCAACATAATTTCATGCGATTGTCTTTTTGCTATATATTAAAACATAATGATAGGAAAATATGATTACCCCCACTCCACACTTTTGATAATAGTTTTTGTTAACATGAAAATTAACTATTTATGTAATTGGTAGCTCTTCCTATACAACAACAATTTTTTTAAAGCAAAAAATAACTAAACTAAAAGAAAAACATTCTTGTTCTTTGATTGGATGATACGATGAAATGAAATAACCAATATATATCGAATTAGATATTCCATGGATATGATAAAACTTATTTCATTCAATTATTCTAGTTTTCTTAGATTTTTCATCTTTTAAAATGGGTAAAAAGAATCGTGAGCATAATACAACAAGAAAAACATCATCATCAATTCGTCAACAAGATCCAACATTTGAATATTTAACTAAAACATTCAATCATATAGATGGACCAATTCAGGTTTAAATTTTTTCTTTCTTTTTTTAATAATATTTTTAAACTTTTTTATTTAATAAAGACTATGTGTGATATTACTCGACCACATGTCGATTCATTTAATTGGATGCTTAAAGAAGGTTTAATGAAAGCTGCTAGTGTACGTAAAAAAAAAGAATCATACTTATTCAGTGAATTCTTTTTTTTTTAAATTATCTTATAGACTATTTTACCATTAGAATTTGAAACAAATACAAAATTACGAGTTAAATTAAAATTTGTTGTATGTATATCATATCTTTTGTTTTGTCTTTTAAAATTGCCATATAAATCTCTTTGTTTTTTTTTGTAGAGTTTGGAAATTGCTCGACCTAAAGTAAAAGTTATTGCCGGCGCAAATCGACTTAGTCATTATGTATATCCTACTGAAGTGTGTTTTCTCTTTTTTTTTCTCTCAATAAAGATAAGATAGTAATAAATTCTGTTAGGCTCGTATGGGTAAAAGTACTTATTCGGGAACATTACAAGCTCGTATTCATGCTGAAATTTTTGATCAAAATGGTAAATTAATTGGACGTGAATCATATGATCGAAATCTTGGTCCAATACCAGTTATGGTTCGAGTATGAGATTTATAGAATATTCAAATTTTTCTCTTTAGAAAAAACAAACAAAATACATTTCATTTTTAGAGTGATGCATGTAATTTAGCAAATATGAATACAAAAGAATTATGTTCAAAATATGAAGAACCAAATGAAAATGGTGGTTATTTTATAGTTAAAGGATATGAACGTATTTTACGTTTATTAACAATGACAAGACGAAATTATGTTAGTAGAAAAAAACAAAACAGAGATATTTGAAATTATTTTGTTTCGACTTTTAGCCTATGGCAATGTCTCGTGGACGATGGCGACAACGTGGTCCAGGATTTACAGATCGTGGTCTTCAAATTCGTTGTTTATCAGATGATCAACGAGGCATTGTAAGTTTCGATGATCTATTAAGACAAAGAAAAAAACGATTTCAATTGTCTTCAAGCTTTTGACTAAAAATAATCTACAAGAGTTCCGCACAGCTAGCTGTAAGAGTATATATAGATATGCATGATTTCTTCTTTTCGTGAGAGATAATAATAATGAATAATTACAAATCGGATAGTCTCGTTTTGTTCGTAGCTTTTTTTCTTGATTGAATATTAATGTTGAAGAGAGAATCCTATTATAAAACTAACCATTGATCTCAACAACAATGCACTAGGAACCAAAACTGAAGAGTTGAGGATCCTTTCAGACTCATCCCAGGATCCAGAAATTTAGTTTCTTTCAGATCTCGGTCCATTTATTTATGGATCCACAGTTTTCTAGTGGAAACTTGTTTATAATCGTCTTAGTCTTTACAGCTAGAGTTGAAAGCTCGAAGACATTTAAAAAAAAAACAATTAAGTATTTATTTATTTTTTTCCATAGGAAAATACACTCCACTATTTGGATACCGGTGCCATTACATTAGCTTTTATGTTTCGTAAAGAAATGTATTTTATTCCTGTTGTTATGATTCTCAAAGTAAGACTCTTTTTATTAATTCTAAACATTGATTGTTTATACAATTTACTATCCGTTGATTATTTGAACGAAGAGAAATGAGTAGTCATTGTTTTGTCAGAACAAAAGACAAAGCAAAGAAAGATAATTATTTAATTTTTCTAGTGCTCCCATGTCATCTTGGTATTCTTGCAATCGAGTGCTCTTTTTTCTAGTAAATCAATCGCCATGTAAATATTTGGCTGTAGTAAATTCATATGTTTGTTTCATTCAAGAATGTTGATCTTCGAAATAATTAATAGTACTTAATGTTATATTACGTTTGAAAAATTTGTTCTAATAATGCATTGATTTTCGTAATGACTACTCGTTTCTCTTCGTATAAATAATCAATGAAGAGTAAATTCTTAGACAACGAAAAAAACAAACAAACAAACAGCTAATTGAAAATGAATTTTTATCTAATTAAACAAACTTGCTAAATATTATATAATTGATATTTATATAGATGTTAGCCGATGATAATACATCTGATCGAGAAATTCATGAAAGTCTTATGCGTGGTAGTTATAAAAATAACAGTGCTTTTGATAAGTAAGATAAATAAAATTTATTTTTTGAAAATAATTATTGATTTTTTCAATTTTTAGTAATATTAAATATATGCTTCGTCAATTACAAAAAACATATTGGTGTGAACAACCATTAATAACACGTCAGTCTATAATTGATTATGTTGGTTCACATTTTCGTACACGTTTACAACGACCATCATGGCATACAAATGCTGATGTTGCTCGTTATTTAATTGATAATTATATATTAATTCATTTAAAAAATGATAAAGCTAAATTTAATATGTTAATGTTTGTATTTTATTTATTTTAATTTAATAAAAAAAGAAAAAATAAAGATTTCATTTCATTTAGATTTATGATACGTAAACTTTTTTCATATGTACGTGATGAATGTAAAGCTGAAGATCAAGATGCACCATCAATGCATGAAATTCTTTTACCTGGACATGTTTATTTAGCATTATTATCAGTAAATAATATTTTAAATAATTGAAATTTTATTCAAAAAAAAAAAATTTTTTTTTTCTTTTTGTTTTTTTTAGGAACGACTAGAAACATGGTTGATATCATTGCGTGAAACATTTTTAAAATTAAATAAAAGTAGTAAAACATCGAATGATGCATCAATACCTACAAGTGCGTAAGTGTATTTATTTAATTTCAAACATATTTTTTTTTTTTT